TGTGGTCACACTCAGAGCCTCGGTCATACGCAGCCCTCCCCTCTCTCAACTTTCTAAGAATAGAGGCGTCTCTCTCTCTTTTCTATTAGTCTCTTTGTTGCTAAGGGAACGAGAGCCAATGAATGGCTAAAGTTATCAGCCACTGAGCTCTGTTAGCGGTACTGAGTAGGTGGGGCCGGGGGGGATAAAAAGTAAATAAAAATGGCCTCTAGATGCAGACGTCTCGGAGCCAACTGCGCTGCCCGATTTAGGAGACGGGATACAAGAGGTGACGCACATAAGCAGAGATGGTAAACACACACAGCGACTCCTGCGGATGCCATAGCATTAAGACCATGTATTTTCCGTGACTGTAGTGCTTCTCTAAGAAAGAATACAACAACCAAACACCAGCATCTTTTGAACCAGGCTGCAATAGAAGAGGAGACAACTATGCATTTACACTGTCGATCATGTAAATCAACAGATTTCCTTAATTAAGTGTGAGAGTTTTGTTTTTTAGTTAAATTTTTGATTACCTGACATAGGATTTTTTAGGCTAAATCCAAGAGTTGACACGACTGACATGATACTCCATTGTAAAGAAAGTGCATTTCCTTTCATTCTTCCATTCATTCTTTGGGTTTCTCTTAGCATCGTCTGCCCCCATAAACTGCACCACTTTGGGAGTTGTGGGGTCAGTGGACATGTCTGATCACTTGGCAATATAAGCATATGATGTTCACTAGGGTTGGCTGATGTTCATTACTCACGATCTCTGATACACTACATGGCCAAAAATATGTGGAGTAACGCTCATTGCTAACAGGTGTATAAAATCAAGCACATAGCCATGCAGTCTCCATAGATAAACATTGGCAGTAGTATGGGTCATACTAAAGAGCTCAGTGACTTTAAATATGGCACTGTCATAGGGTGCCACCTTTGCCTCAGGTCAGTTTGTGAAATTTCTGGCCTGGTAAATCTTCCCCAGTCAACTGTAAGTGCTATTATTGTAAAACAGAAGTGTCTAGGGCCCTCCTCCATCATTTACTGTTGGCACTATGCATTCCGTGAAAAATAAATATCAGCCAACCCTGGTGAACATAATAAGCTAATATTGCTGAGTGATCAGACATGTCTACTGACCTCAGAACTTCAGAGTCAGCAGCCATCACATCACAGTGATGCAGCTTATGGTGGAACAAATGCTAAGAGAAACCAAAGATGGATCAAAGAATGAATGGAAAAACTGTACTTTCTTTACAATTGAGTGTCATGTCAGTGGATGCTATTCACTTTCATGTCTGGTCTGGAGCTGTTTTTCAGGGTTTGGGCCTCTTAGTTAGAGGGTAAGGTTAATACTACAGCATACAAAGACATTTTGTTTTATTACATGCTTCCAACTTTGTGGCAACAGTTTGGGGAAAGCCCTTTCCTCTTCCAGTATGACTGTGCCCCTGTGTGCAAAGTCAACAAGGACATGCCTGACCTCATAAATGCCCTTATGACTGACTGGGCATAGATTCCTACAGATACTCTCCAAAATCTTGTGGAATGGGATGTCCAAAAAGTTCATATAGGTGTGATGGTCAGGTATCCACATACGTTGGTCACATAACATATTGGACAAATCCGATGCTCATTAAAACAAAAAAGCTGTAGTCTAATTTGAAAGCTGTAGTCTGTAGCAGGGTTTGACCGATTTGAAAATGTCGTGGCCAGTACCGATAAAGATTTTAAGAGGCTAAACATTTTGATAACTGAAAATATCAGGGCAGCGTGATATGCACCTGAAACAAATGTTTGTTTTAGTAAGTCTGCAGTTAATTAAACTGTGCAAATGACAGCATACTAACTGTGTGCTCATGAGGAGAGGGATTTAAAAAGGTGGTGTGAAATAGTGAAGCCGTCAACAAGCTAAGTGACGAAGAGACGGCCATGGTAATAAACAATAACACAAACTGCTCACATTATTTTGCGACCACATCAATGAACAGTTTGCTCTGTGCTTCCAACAGAAACACGCAATCAGCTTCACTTAGAATATTTCCACCGATTTCAAAGTGATCCTCCCTCAAATTCACTCCATTAAAGTTTAAAACTAAAGGTAATCTCTTACCCCAATATTCATGTTTTAAAGATAAACTCAAAAGAAAAGTAGAATCAAAAGAAAATGCCAAAAACCCTGGTGGAAATTCATGGAAATCAAAACAAGTACGCTCTTGTGGAGTACTACTACTATGGCATGAAAGTTTAATGGAAGTTGGCTGATGCAAGAGCAAGAGTGAAATGGCAACATTGTGCAGAGGTCAACAAGGGCACGGGGGGCGGGGGAGGAAGGGGCCGGGAAAGAAGGACAGCGCATTAGCCTTGTTCTTTAACCGGAGGGAATTTTGTGTGACACTTTGCTCCTCATGGACCATCAACAGGCCACCGTCTCCGTCTCTCTCACCCACACACAGCCTGTCCCTATTTCACTTCATGTGCACTTCCTTCATTTCAAGTGCAAATCACTAAGGGGCAAAGTTACTTTCTTCTTTTTCTCTAACTTTTGAGGGCACACTTTTAATGGCATATTCCACAATGCAATGTGTTAGTGTTAAGGGTACGAACTGATGGTGTCTAAAAGTAACCCTAACTACCTTGACTAAGAACCTTTATTACAGGTAAAATCAGTTATCACTATATGTTATGATGCTGTACAGTATGTGGTGTCATAACATCAAATACAATGGCATCTGTCATGATAATTATCGGAAGTGGTATGGTTATATTACTGAACAAAATCTTTCAAGACAACTCATGACAGCATATGTTGTGATATGTTTATGGCCTGGTTATGTCAATTCTGTGTAGCAGGATTCAAGTAAAGTGTTGCTCAGTTATTTCAGTTACACTTGGCACTTTGGCACTACTGTTTTTTCATCATTTCGAAAGACACTGCTACGGTTGGCGGTTGGTGCAGTTGGCGCATGCTAGTGGCTATTTCCTTTTTCTTTCTGTTGTTTTGCTGTATCATGCACACTGCATGGGATGTTGTGTTTTTGAGTGGTATCAAACCTGTAATGGAAAAGTTCTTGTTTGTTGTACCCCATTTTGATACTTGGCATGAACAGTAATACAAATCACTAATGTCCCTCACAGAAGCCTTGAAAGAGTTCTACATGACAGACATTTTGACCCCCAACAGTTGACATCACTGTTGACCCACTGGTGTTCAAACTGTTTGAATGTGTCTGCGCTGACCGGGACATTACCGTGAACAAAACAAACAGTGTCTTAATCACTATTTCTAATTCTCATTAGCATTCAAACAAACCAAATGTAGACCAATTTAATCTTTCGGCCAGTTTTGACTATTTTTGGCCGAAGTATTTTTTTTTAACTAAAAATGCCTGCAAACATGTATCTGGAGAAGCCTGGCAGACGAGATGAGGGGACATGTCCTCAGTAACTCAGTGTGCATCATTGTGCTAGATGATGTAGCTGACTTGATAAAATGAAACCAACACACATAGACTGTTACAAAGGCTGACCCAATGCAGTAGTTTCTCTTCCCAAAACTCTCATGGGCAAAAGGAAGGTGCCAGCCAGACGCCAACAGAAGCTGATGAAAAAGACATTTTCACCACATGCCAAAATACAGCCTCATGACATTTCCATCTTTAACAGAAGCAAGTGGAAGAAGGCTGACGGATCTGCGGCTAAGAGTTTCTGACAGGGCAAACCACAGGGTGTGTCCACCTGCCCACCAAACTGTGAAGCAATCCTCTCCTGATGCTGACGCATACTGATCCCCTTTTATTCACCAGCATAAATAATGTAAAATATACCAGGCTGCAGTGATGGAGGCTGACATTTTCCCTTTCAAAACCCACACTGACCTTCAGCAGGCCAATTACACAAAAACCCTCCCTCCCGAGTTATGGGGGCTCTCTGGACCCTGGACTCATTTGTAGCAAACTTGTCAGACTAATACTGCTGCTCTAAGAAGCAGCCTTTGCTTTTCATACGACCGTAATAAATATTTCATAATGAACATGATTAGATTTTCATTAGGGGGAGCCGGTCGTAGATCGTTCCTTTGCTGATGTTTGAGACATATGTGCCTACACTTAACCCTTAGAAATTAAGAGGCGTTACTGTTGTTTTGATATGGTATTTGAATGTAATTATATACTTTCATACTTAATTACAGTTAATTATATAAAAATTACATTTACATTTGGTTTACATTATGTATCAACATGTTTAAGTCTGCACTTGTGACTTTTTCAATAGTTTCTTTCGATATCAAAAAAATTATAAAAACAAAAATGCATAATGAGCAAGAATATTTTCTTTCTGCAAAACAAGGCTGTTAAATCAAATTCTAATTAAAATAAAACAGTTATCCATCTTTTGTGTCAACATAAATGTGGTATGGACAATTTTTGACTATTTTTCCACTTCAACAGGCAAAGATTGAGAAATACAATTATAACATTTATATGAAATTATATTGATATTAATTAGGGATGCACAAATATGGGTATTGTGGGCAGATAGGTACATGAAAAATAGCAAATACATGTAATGATTGGCTAGTTTTGGGCTAAACTGCAACTGCAAATTTCACCATTAAAAACTCAATTTAGTAAATAGCAATACTGACACTGATATTGAAACCTTGAGTAATATTTTTGATACTGAAACCGATCCAATATTTTTTTCTTTAAAAACTAGTAAGCTTTAAACAATCTAAAATATTTTATATATTTAAACATCATGCACTTCTCACTCTACTGATATGATTTGGTAAGTGGTACGTTTTATTTGACCTAATTCGCTTTACGATGCTACAAGCAATTCTGTGCTACTTCAGGCTAGATTTGCGACAGAATTGGAGTCGGATCAGATTCGTTACTTTTTTCCATTCAATTTTCACCAGCCCTAAGTGTCTGTAGTTTAATGCAGATCCATTTAAACATTCAGCCAATCTGAAAATGATCAGTTCTTTAGGGAAACAACATACTCACCAAAATGCCGTCCACCTTCGATTGAACGGATTTGCTGGGGAAAAAAGAGAGAAAGAAAAAGGAATGTTAGCATGATGCAAGTGTAATTTGAGGAACGCTCAAAGCCGCCTTTATTAATAAACTAGTGGCACGTGAAGTATGCTCCCACCCGGCAATCCGCCCCGGCTGGCTCAGAACAAGATATATCCAAAGGAACACATGCTGTAACAAAAAAAGAGCTCTGATGTTCCATCACACTAAAGCCCTATTAATATTCCCGCCAGCCAGACCCCGGCAGTCATTGAGGAGGAGACTGAATGGACCAGTATGAACTAGTATGGATTCTATATACTGGTGTGGAATGATTCAAGGTCTGATTTGGACTTGTGGCAATGTAAAGCTGGTATGTATACAGAGTTTATAGAACCTGGTTGCATTCTTTGGAAGTCATTTAGTTGGTCTGGTCTGTGTGAACGCCAACAAACAAGTGCCCCCACCACAACTTCCCAAATAGATTGGATGTTCAATTACAGTCCATCATGTGGACACTGACATACTCACTTTAAAAAAAAACACTGAAGTAATGATGTCTTTAACATTTGAAAAAGTGAAGTGTGCAGATACACTCTACAAATGAAGCGTGTGTTAAGTGTACAAAATGACAAAATATCTAATACTGGTGACAGAAATGGTCATATTTGCAGTGCATCCCTCAGTAATCAAAAAGAAAATGTTTGCATTTTGTCCAAGGCAGCTAGCAAACATGTACTCTGGCCCATCAAGGCACAGCAGGTTTATTTATATAACACATTTCAGACACTATTTCATAATCCAAAGTGCATAACATGGGCAATCAAATCAAGAGATATAACAAACAACAAAGAGATGTTTGAAATGAAAAGATAATGAAATAATAAGATAAAGATAAAAAGTCAAAGATAAAGAAAAATATAAGTAATTTAATATGAAAATATGTTACATAAAACAAGAGATAAACTGTAAAAATGTACTAAGACCTCAAAAGGTTTTCAACTTTGAACAGTTGAAAAGTTTGCTGTCATATGCTGCGTTCTACAGAAACCAGGAGTCGTGATATCTACTATGCAGATATAGCCATTTTATTTACTATTCCAAAAAAACAGTGAATCTCCATGTATCTTCTGAGGTTTTATATTTAATGTTGTTAATATGATAACATAGTGGTAGATCTGAAAAAATAAGTTCTTTGGGTCTGTTTTGCCTTACAACACCTTACCTTACGTACCTCTCCACCACAAACCTTTTTTTAGGCCAAAACCTAATTGGAAAACTACTGTAAAACGATGCCTCAAGCATCAGGCACTATATTTGCAACTATTTCATGTAATGTTAGCTTTAATAGGCAGTGACTCCTCATCCATGCAATTACCTAATCAGCCAATTGTGTGACAGCAGTGCAGTGCATAAAATCACGCAAATACAGGCCAGCAGCTTGAGATAATGTTCACATCACCATCAGAATGGGGAAAAAATATGATCTCAGTAATATGGACCTGGCATGATTGATAAAGTCAAATGGGCTGGTTTAAGTATTTCTATTATTAAAAAAACAAAAGACATCCAGTGAATGGCAGTTCTGCGATGAGAGAAATCAACAACATCAAGACCGGCAAGACTGGTTTGAGCTGACAGAAAGGCTACTGCAACTCAGATAGCCACTCTGAACAATTGTGGTGAGCAGCAAAGCATCTCAGAATGCACAACACGTCAAACTTTGAGGTGAATGGGCTACAACGGCAGAAGACCACTTCAGGTTTCACTTCTGTCAACTAAGAACAGAAAGCTGAGGCTGCAGTAGACACAGCATCACCAAAACTGGACAGCTGAAGACTGTGAATCTCGATTTCTGCTAAGGCACACGGTAGGGACAGAATTTGGCGCTTAACCTGCCTTGTGTTAACAGTACAGGCTGATGGAGGTGGTGTAAAGGTGTAGGGAATGTTTTCTTAGCACACTTTTGGCCCATTAATCACAATCAATCATTACGTGATTGCCAAAGCCTATTGTCGAAGTATTGTCGATGACCATGTGCATCCCTTTATGGCCACAATTTACCCATCTTCTAACAGCTACTTCTAACATGATAATGCACCATGTCACAAAACAAGTCTCTGAAGCTGATTTCAAGAACATGACAATGAGTTTAAGGCTCTTCAGTGGTCTTCCTATTCACTGGATCTGAATCCAATAGAACACCTTTGGGATGCAGTAGAACAGGAGCACCTAAAAAAAAAGTATGATGCCATCATGTCAACACAGACCAGATTCACAAATGAATGTTTCCATCTCAGAATGTGTTATATTTCTGATATACTAATAGAGTGCTACCCAAACGTAGAACTCCAGATCTTCGATATGCTCCACATTTAGCTACTCTTAAAGTGGAACTCCACCAATTTTTCAACATTACTGCATAATTACATCATTAAGTTGTAAACAAAGTAACTTAGATCAGTTTGATGTGAAATGTACAATTCTACAGAATCCAATAGAACACCTTTGGGATGTGCCAGAATGGGAGGTTCGCAGCGTGAAAGTGCACCTGAAAAATCTGCATGATGCAATCATGTAAACATGAACCAGAATCAAAAAGGAATGTTTCCAACATCTTGTGGAATCCACACCACAAACAACTGAGGCTGTTTTGAGAACAAAGGGAGGCACTACCTATTATTAGTATAGTGTTGCTAATAAAGTGCTTGGAGAGTGTAAATATGCAGCAGCACTTTAACATCAATTCTGTAACTAATTGGAAGCCATGCATAGACAGAACTGGAGTCAAAACACACTGGAATCAGAACTTTCAAAGTTTCAAAGTTCCATTATGAATGACAACTATTTAGTGGTCTTTTTAGGAAGACCAGTTGACAGATCATTGCAATACTTGAGCCTACAGGAGATAAAAGCCACATGTTTTTCTAAATCTTGCTTAGACATGAAACAAGCAACATCTGACAGTCCTAAGAGTTATTTATAAATGTGCTACCACAATAAGATTTTCTTAGTATTTTGCTGTCCTTGGCACGCTACTCAAATTAGACGTCTAGTCTGCCCTGGTCTTGACCTCTATAGGAGGCTTACTTATCTAGAATTGAGAACTGAGTTTTAATAAGCTGTTGCTACACAGCACTGATCAAAGTCACGATAATCTGCAACACGAGGCAGAGCTGCCAAGCAGGGTCGTACTTGGCTGTTACTAAGATAAATCAGGGAGGTCAAAACCAAGCAACCTGTAAACAAGCCAACCTGGACAGGTAATCCTAGCTGGAGCATTATTTCTTGGCCAGGCCTTAATTGTCTTCCCCCATCTGAAATGAGTGGCGAGAACTTTAATGAACTGTTACTGGGTGAGTTAGGCTGGGATTGTTGATGGGTAGGGTTGGCACGGGTAGTCCTCATTAAGCCGTCTCCAGGTAAACCTGGGGCAGCTATGGCACTGTGGCGACACATTCGCCCCCTGTTGCCAAGCAGAGTGAGCCTGTGAATGGACGACGTTTTGAAAACGTCACTTCCTTGAGGCAATAATATCGCCACTCCTGGCCAAATCAAGCACTGACTGGGGGGCTTCTTAATGAGCTAAGCCTTTAATCACTCACGCCAGGCCGTAGCACTTTTGGCACAGCCATCACTGAGCTCCATGGACACAATTAGCCCTGGGGGAGGGGACTGCAGCTCAGCAAAACCAATTGGCGTATTGTGGGATTATATCAAATCACCAAAGTCAAACAAACATTCAATTACGATGCCTAATATCCCTGCACTAGCTGATGTGAGCTGCTCTTGTTCTGAAGCAGTGTTCATGTGCAACTAAAAATATGTGCTTGATACAATTAGACAACTTAGATAATAAGGTTGGCCACTATTATCAAATTAGCATAGTATAAGCTATGAGCTATAATATTTAAATTAAGCACCTTAGTTGCCAGTAAGTAAATATACAGTTTTGTTCTTTAAGAAGTTTACAGACATTTGCTCACAACAACAATCTACTGATTCACTGACACCCCTCTTACGGGTCCACTGTCAAATCAATTTCATGGTTTAAGTCAAACGGAAATGAAAACTGTTTTTAAACCCTGTTTGTTCAGGCCATATTAGGCATTGTGTAAATTACACAATAAGCTGTTAAGAATGGGAATCAGCTTCCAAAGGTCATTATAAAATACAATAATAAACCTTAATTTAAGAACAATATATTATTATACATTACTGTGAAATTACAGCAGTTTATGCATATACTGGAACTGAAACTAAGTATAATATTTAGTTTTCCACTAAAAGTCCTTTTTTTCCTCTGTGAGTGGACAACAGTAGAGTCCAACATGAGATCAGCTCTTTGTTCCTACATTTAAATTTATACATTATGTTTTTCATATTTTACATAAATACCCAACCCTTCATAACTCATGACAAGAATTTTATCACAGCTATCATGGAGTATGGAAACTGTGATAGGAGGCAGGTTGCTGGATGATGAAATCAGTCCATCTGTGTTGTCAGAGTCATAGCATTTAGATTTCAGTTCAAAAGTAGGTGACTGATGATATAATAGTGAAGTCCAGACCAACATCTGTGTTAAATGTCTTGGTCAAGGGCATAATGGCAGTTCAAACTTCTAAAGACATAACGATTGCGAGGGGTGTCGCAAAATATTTTTAACCCCAAAACAGGGTCACACTGTGGTTAAGTATTAAAGAACTGCTAAATGTTACTAATGATTACAATGCATTTCCATAAAATCACAAAACCATAAAATGAGAGACTTATAAACGGTGCAATGAACCATTTTATACAATATAATAAGAAACTGTAAAGGTTAAACTGAATGTTTTCCAAGGTCTTACTAAAAAGTGTGTTTATGGTGATCATTAACTGATCTTAATTGATTGGATGATCTTTTTAAATATCCCCCGGCTTCCTAAACAGAATGAACAGTCGCTCAGATCCTGTCTGTGACTCTCAGGCCAACCATGCCCCTCCCCCCAGACCCCACTCCAGCTGGCCACATGTGCTCAG